GGGGTGTGTTCTGACTTCTCTCTGTGTGCACATCCCGGCCACTCTAAGGACAGGTACTACACTACCTGTGTCTGTGTTCTGTTAGCGTGTCTGGTTCCGGAATTCGTGACAGAGGGGATAAAACTTGTACATGGTTTTAAAACAGTAAATTGTATTATAACGATGATATTGTCAGTGAAAGTGATGTTATTCGTTAGACTTCACTGAATACAAATATGTATACTTTATCGCTGTAACAGCTAACAGTATTATAACATTCACATTTAAAATGCAATGCAGAACTAAATAAATAACTACATTTCTTAATTTCTCACATTATTTTACATTTTATTCATACTATATTATGTTTCTTATATAAATATTTGATGAGAAATTAAAGTTCTGTTTCTCCTGAACAAAATTATATATAATAAGTGTGGGTGCATTTTATATGAAAGAGGTGAATTACAGTTGAACAGGCATATAGCGCAAATTCCTGGTTTTGTTTACGTTTTGTTTTGATCAGAACGTGTACAATTGCCTCCGTCCTTAAGGGGTTAAAGGAACACTATAGTGTTAGGAATACAAAACTGTATTTTACACTCAAGTGTCTCCATGACTGTATCCCTTTTTCACTTATCTGAGTGCCGAGTTACCTCAGTACATGTTTACTCTCTGCCTCACACTCCCAAGTCTCCGGGGTTAAACTCCATGTAAATGCATGATGCTAGGAGACAGCCACTAGAGGCAGTTTTATCCCTGAAATATAAACATTGCAGTTTCTCTAAAACTGTGATGTTTTACATTGCATGGTTAAGGGGACAGAGATACTGCATCAAGACCACTTCAGTGAGATACAGTGGTCTGGGTGCCTATAGTGTCCTTTTATATTGCCGGAATAAACGTTATTTATACTGTTACATAGTCAAAAACAATTCTAATTCATATTATTTCTTGAATGCAGAAGAGCTAGTGGGTCAGTGTGTACATTGCTGTACTGATCTGAACAGATCCACATAGCATTATCTGTCAATATTGTGCTTGTTTATGTGATACCACAGCACTTACAGTGAAATGCATGTGAAGGCCTAGATTGGCTGAGATATTTCAGTCTATTCACGGATTCTAAAGAAGTAATTTTTATGCATTATCTCCATAATCCATTATAACAGTAGAAGATCTACTGCAACCTGATGAGTCAATTTAAAGCGTTGACAG